CTCTTCCCCGTCTCATCCTGTTAAATCTAGTTGAGTGGGTTTGCTTACAACAATCTGAGAAATAAGCACTTCAACTGCTAATAAAGTGTTAACTCAAACTCACAAAATTTAAACATTGTGTCCCTTCTGTCAGACCATAAAAAGGAGAAGGATGATCTTATTATAAAGATGTGTACCAGTCTGGTGTGATTAACAGTTCATCCTTATGCCTAAGACAGCTGGAGCATGATTTACGAGCAAGGTTTGCATGAGAATCAATGCCTACATTCTTCCCTATTTGATCTGTGCAGGGCACCGTCTCCAAAAACGAAAGTATCAAAAGAATAAAAACAAAAGTAATTTTAATTTACAATACTCGTGCACAATAAAGGCAAAAAATTCAGTATTTTATTTGTAACAAAGATGTTATCTATAAAGCAACTGAATTGATACCGTGCATTAAATGTATTGTATACCTTTTGTGTAGTACTCAGGTCTAAACTTTGGTATAATTATGTGGCCACAGACTTGGGGTTAACAACTTAACGGCGAAGTAAGATTTTCAAGACAATAGGTTAAATAATCTTACATTTAAAAAAATTGCTTTACCAAATAAAACAATAATGTAAATTTGTTTCCATTGTGCTATATTTTTGAAAATTCAACTGTAATGAGGAATTCCTCTGAGAACCAGTGGCTGAACTGAATTCTCACCACAGTATCTTATATACTTCATTCCTGTATTCATCGCTAAAAGCAGTACAAGTGAAATCGTTTTACCTATTTTCATATAGGAAAAATAAACCCACAGAAGAAATATAAAATTCCTGGAAAAAATTATAATGACAAATTAGATTAATTCAGAGAAACTAAAAGAATAATCTGTCTTAAATGGAATGGAAAAAAATTATAATTTCATTTTATAATACAACATTGTATCATTATAAATATATCCCAGAATAAGCAAGGTAGGATGAAATAAGGCTATTTTTCATGCAGCTCCACAGTAAAGAAGTATCTCTCAAGCATGACAAACGCTTTTGCAATTAACAACTGCAATTTCAGGTAGGAAACTGTGTTTTCCCATGATCTAGGTGCAGGATCTAGGTGATCTCAATACACACAAACTCTTCCTTTCTAGCAGGAAGACTGAAAACACTCTATAGAAGGATTCAAAGACCTAAAATTACAATACTAGATTTGGGTTTTTTTCCACCCAGAACCCATTACTGACTGCATTACCAGTACTTCACCATAAGCTTTCTCAGTATACAAGAGACAAAACTGTTTTCATAATGATTTTAATTCTCTAATGTTAAAGTATTTGAGACTAGTTAGTCTACCCTAGTTCACTGGCAGCACAGTAAAATATTGTGGTACTTTGTAATAGAAACCTGAAGCTCTATTGACTGTGCAGTTTGAAAACAAAACCAAGAAGTATTTTCAGATACTTTTAAATCAATACCAGTCTGTATAACTATAGGTGTGTTAAAATTCGCTGTTTGGACTTTGCATAATGAAGCTTTACAATATTAACAGGAAAACTGCTACGAAATGATTCATATGATCACAATCAAGGAATGTCAAAAACTACAGGCGAAAAAAAAAGATATTAAATTTAAACCAAACTGCTCATGATTAAAGATTGGTCCTTATTATTGAAACACATGAAATGAATCATCCCAGGAATACTGAAACATTAATCTTACAACCGAAGACAGTAACTGCACAGAATAGATGTTAAGCAAACGATTTAATGTAATGGGAGCTTTACAAAAGAAAACAGCAGCCACATATCTCGTGGAAAAAAGAACATCAAGTGTTTGAAACACAGTTAATACTATGGATGTGTCAGCAGTTCCTCAAAATTAACATGAAGTTTACACTCTTTTAGGGTTTACAAAATACTATTCATGGTAGTTAAACATAACAAAACAAAAACCAACAACCGCTTGCCTGATAGATTTAGCTTAACACAGAAAGTGATCTTACATGCATACATCCTGCTAAGTTCTATCAACAGTTTGTAGTTCTCTATAGAAAAACAGATCCGAAGCAGCAGTTTAGCAGAAAGTGAGGACCAGCACGTAAAAGAGAACTTAACGCTAGATACAAGACTTCCAGATTCTCAAGGGAATTCATAAAGTTTCTGCAAGACAGAGATTTATTGCCCATTTACAAAGAACAAATGGTAATTACAAGACAAATATAATAATTAAACATACGAGCTCTGGAATTGTACAAAGGTGCTCATTTCTTGTGGGTGAGATGCATTGTTAAAAACAACAGTGCTGGCTGAGGGGCCTTTGCAAAGATGCGGTTACAAGGGGACGTGACTGAACAGGTAAGACACAGATTCACCATTGTGTGTTCTTCGAATTGCCTCAGCCAGGATCATGGAAATGTCAATAAACTGAAAGAAAAATCAAGAAGATAAAATTTATGGGATGTCAAGAATAATAAACATGCGCATAAACATTCAATTTACCATTGTGCTCTCTTACCTCTTCTAGGAAGTAAAATAACATTAAAGCATTAGGTACTGAACATATACATAAGAACTGCATTAATACAAAGCACAAACTCAAAAATTGAGTAAGAAAGCATTGAATAAGATTGCTGCACAGGCACATTGCTGAAGACTTCTGGCACAGGGCATGTTGTCAAAAAAACCAAACCCAAACACTATTCTAGCCATCAGATGGCAGTGTCCACTTGACACAAATTCAGTTTAAGGGATGTATACTTTTTAAGCGCTTGCCTTGTTTCAGTAAATACCAAATAAATTTTAAGTTTTTTAAAAATTCAATGTTGCATTAAAAAAACCCAACACAATCCTTTATGCTTTCCTCCACTCTGAAAAACTCCAAAAGGGACACATGACTTCCCAGAACAACCTCATGTAAAAGCTACTGACATAAGGCAGCTTTGTATTTTCAGTTTGGTTTTTGAAAAGAAACATATGTCATTGTTATCTTGAGCATCTTCATTACTGTATTTGCAAAAAAAAAAAAAGTTGTCATCGTCTAAGGTTTCTGTGGCACCCATAATAACATAACTTAAGTTCCTACATACAAATATCGTATAATTAATATTGATAAAACAGAAAACAACCCAGCCAATTTTACATTTGCCACTCTTTCACAGTCAGTCATACTCAATTTGTTGCAAATACCAAATATTTTGCAATACTCTATTGTACTACCTGAATACCCTTAAAACAGTTCTTTGGCATGTTTTAGCAAGATGTTCTGCAAACCATGTATGTTAAAATATTATTTTCCTCTCAAGGCACAAATTCTAGTATCAGTGAACAGGAAAATACAAATCCAGAGTTTAAACAGATGACACAAAACCAGCACCATACCTGAATTTTCGGGCAGTGTTTCATTTTCTCTTCTTGGGGGATTGTATTAGTTACCACAACAGCCTCAAACGATGCATTATTAATCCGAGAAATAGCAGGACCAGAAAAAATGCCATGAGTAAGAATGGCATAAACTTTTGTAGCTCCAGCAGATACTAACCTGTAGAACACGAAGGAAAAGTATGTTGTGGTGCATGTTTACATACATGGCCATAGATGAAGCCAGATGCAAATCTCTGTAAAATACATTTCAGACACAAATTCCTCCTGGAAGCTACAGGAAGATACAACTATCTCCAAAATAATTTGGAGAATTTTAAACTTTTTCAGGTTATACAAAAAAGTCTCACAAAAAAAAAAACACCAACTGCTAATTAAATTAAAAAGTTATGAGTAGCACTGATACGGATCTAAAATGCTGCCCTTTTGACCATGTCAGCACCACATACAACCGAACTCCAGTACAAGTTTTCTATCTTAATCAGGCAAAAATGAAGCAGGTTGGATGACAGTATTCGCAACTCTATTGTGCCTCCATTACTGTCCACCTTTATTTTCACTGGCAATTCAAACAATTCTACTTGGAAAGAGTTTGAGGAAGAAGAAATGTTAACGATTAAAAGTCTAGCTTACTGCAAGGTCATGGGAAGACATGCTGCTCGTCCAAGCACGCAGAGAAATGATGCAGCACAGGACAAAAAAACAAAAAAAAAGTATAAATCAAAGAACTATAACACCTCGTGAATGAGTCAGAATCTCCTAATTTGGTTTTGACTGGCCTCTGCTTCCAGATGCTCAGCTATGTCCTAGCTGCTTTTCTGGTCTTACGAACAGAGGCCCTGAAGAGTGGTATTCTATCAGATCATAGCGTAAGCATAGTAAGACAGAAAAAAAAAAAAAAAAAGACAAAAGCACAGAAACATCACCTCATTTTGAATGACTCAATAGGATCAAAGTTTTCTCGTCATTCCCAGCATTATATTTACTAGCTGCAACCCAAAAGGAGGATGCACTACAGTGAATGTGTACCGAGGGTGTGTACTGAAGTTTGTACTTAAGCAAGTTGATCTGCTCTGTCTGAAAATATATTTCTTGGTTCATCTGCTTGATATGCATCTAGGTTGCTGAGATTTAAAAAAAGAGGTCTAAGTAGTATTTTGGTGAGCAACTCTAATCAAGCACAAAGTACATCTCACCTAGATTTGGCATTAATGAAAAGCACTACTTCATGCCAAGAACATGATATAAGGCAGCACGACTCAGGCAAAAGCATCTTTCTTAGCGAACACTGCAGATACATTGAAGGTTTCTGATGGTTTTAGAATTCGCTCTATAGAAATCTACTGTAGATAAATAAAGAAGTGCTTCCTTCGTAAACAGAAAAGAAATAAAGGACTCCTTTTTGACAGGAATTAACTTCCTCTATGCACAGAAGTATTAAAAAAAAAAAAAATCATTTGCTAGGCAGTTTGTGATTTTGATCTGCAAAGGGCACAGCCTAGGAGCAGACTTTGCAGTCTGATGCAGATTAGTATGCAGAGAGCAAACAACTGCATAACATCTCTGCAAAATTCCATCAAATTCCCATCAAAATGAAAACAAACACAAGACTATATGAATTCCTCTAAAATAAGTTTTAGACATCATTTTTATCTAGATGCAAACAGCAAGTCTGCAACTAAAGACTGTAAACTCATGCGATGATCTTTACTTCAAACCACCAACAGTAATGTCTGGCTTACTTAAACTATACACTCTTGCTTTGACACCATTTCCCACAGCATTCTC